CTCATGGAAATATAGGTCACTTTGAGGTTCTGATACTTAGTAAAATATACATGTATTGGGGGAGAAAACAACCACAATTCCTAAATCTGTCATAATACATTTTACCAGACTACAGAAAGTTTTTGAACACTCTATATGAAGCTTTTTGATCTTCACTAGGGAAGAAGTTTTGTATTTATATACCTTTTGTAAAAAGCTTGCATAATTTAGAAACATCTGAAAGAGAAAAATAAGAATATTGGGGACTTTACTAGGTGAATAAATATTATTTCATGATTTTTCAGTGATAACTAAATCTATATTATGTCAAAGAGTCCTCAACCTGAAACCTTTATAACTTTTGGCATGGTGACAGCTTGAAAGTAAAATTAGTATTTTGGATTTTTTTTTAATTCCATAAATGCCATGGGAATTTTATCACGTTTCAACACTTTCTGAATATGTAATTCCCATAGTGCCCATTAGTGACCATCTGTGTAAGGTAATACATATTTGGGATGAAATTGATTACAGCCCGAACACCCTAGTGTTATGATCAGGAAAAGCACGCAAAGTTCACATCTTTTTTCCTAATGATCTCTATGTAGCTGAAGATATTAATTTCCGAAGGCAGAACAGCCTATCACTCAAGATCTTAATCTCACAATAAATGACACCAGGGCAAAAGGATAGGAGTCTGCACAGCCTTGCACTAAAATTAATAAGTGCTGTTCCCGGGAAGCTCTTAGGATACAGGGGAAATGAACAGATTTTTGGAGCAGAGTGTTTTCTTTTCACACATCAATGTAGGCCCACACCAATTTTGCTGAATGTTCAGAAATGTTTTATTACCCTTCTACAAATCCCTATTATCACCAACACACTCCATGATCACCTGCTTGTAACTTTCCTGATCATACCTTGCTAATCCTACATCTTTGATCCTTTGTGTTAATTTTGCTTGTCTTGAAAATGTTTTCCTTTCACCTGTACAAATCCAGATGCTTTCCTTATTTTAAATATGATTTCAACATGATCTCCAGTGAAGTCAGTTGTGTGTGGTGATGCTTATCTCTATATTATCTGAATTCATTTTTCTGCTCAAGAGTAGAGCTCATCAAATATATTTGACTATATTTCTAATGAATATTTTGACTCTCTATGTAGTTACGCAGTGTTTTGTGAAATATATTACAAAAAATAATTATGTTTTGGGGGGAAGGTTTTGGTTTTGGTTTGTTTTAGTTTGATTTAGAGAATTTCAAGAATTTGTATTACTGAACTATTGCCGCGATCATTAAGAAACCTTATGATATCTTCCATAGAATATTTAAAATTCGAACACAACTACATCCTGTTCCTCACTGGGATGTGAGCCTGAATGATGTAACTGCAAATACCCTAAAAGTAGCTGGAAGAACTGATGGAGTCGTTGTCTAAATGTTGAAATATAGCAATTATAACGCTGGCACAGTTGATGCTGAACTGTTCCTCCTTTTTTTCCTTGAACTTCTTGATGATAATTATCCATCAGGTTATGATAGATTTCAAATCTGCTTCCCATTAAAGGTAATGAAATAATATTATCTTCTTAAAGAAGATGATATTTACTTTCCTGTTTTATATATCATATCCCAAGAAGTCATGCATCAAGTGTATCTAACAGCTGTGTGCATTATTTGGAACACACTGAATAGAAAATGGTCTAGATTGCATCGATATTTTTTAACTTTAGGATTATGGATTTTGTTTTTGTTGAGTTTGTCATGAGCTCACTTAGTGAAAATACTGACTGCTGCCTCAATATTATGGAAATACAAAGATAAATAGGACATGGCCCCTACTTTTGAGGAAAACTACTAGGGTCACACATTTAAACAGCTCATCTTAATACAGATTGAATATCCTTTATCTGAAATGCTTATGAATAGATTTCAGATTTTTTTTCAGATTTTGGAATATTTTATGTGCATCATGAGATACCTTGAAGAGGAGACCCAAGTATAAACATAAAATTCATTTTTTTGTATAAGCCTCTTTCACAGAGTGTAAAGGTAATTTTATGTTATAAATATTTATATTTTTTTGTACCCAGGTTTTAACTACCACATCACATGAAGTCAGATGTGGAATTTTCCACCCATGGCATCATGTTGGTGTTAAAAGCATTTCAGATTTTGGAGCATTTCAGACTTCAGATTTTCTAATTAGGGATGTTAACCCTATATGGTAAGATATGGAAAGATGGACAAATTTCTGAGTACAGCAGAGAGGAAAACTTGTTTTGAAAGGCAAAGGAAAGCTAAAAGTAAGCTGTAACTTTTGTGTTTGGTATCACAGAATACACCAGGTTTCACCAGCAAGTGAAGAATATGTGGTATATCTATTAATAGACAAGATTGTTTGTGTATCCCATGGAAACATCTTGCACATGCACAGCTCTCTCTAAGTCCATTGTGGCAGAGACTGTTGGCTGACTAATTTAACAATCATTCCCATCTGCCTTCTCCCTTGATGTCTCCCCTGTGGAACTGAGAAAACTAAATACTGATGGTTAGTGATATCCATGTAACACAATATGGCTAACTGGCCATGTTTGGAAATATGCTGAGGGTTTTTTAAAAATAATTTTGCTTTTTCAAATAAGAGACCCTGTTGATATCACTTTCTTACTCTTGTCTTCAATATGGCCGCTATAATTATACCAGTGAGGGCCCCTGAGAAGCTGAGAGCACTCAGGAAGATGAATGGAGATGTGCTTGAGCCATAACTGCCTACTGCAGTACTACTTATGAGGAAAATCAAATCTTCACTTAAGCCATTGTAGTCAGATTTTTCTCTTACTTGCAGCCAGAAGCATTCCTGACTGATACAGGAATTAGCCACACATGCAAGGGTGTGGAGAGAACAAGTCTGCCAGCACCATTTTTCCAACTGCATGTTCTCATTTCAGGTCTCTGTGTTACATCTTGATAATTCTTGCAATATTTCAAGATTTTCCATCATTGTTATATTTGTTATGGTGATCTATGGTCAAGGATCTTTAATATTATTGTAATTGTTTTGGAGGACACCACAAATTGTGCCCACATGAGACACTGAAGTTAATCAGTAAATGTTGTGTATGTTCTGACTGTTCCACCAACCAGCCATCCCTCCATCTCTGTCCTTTTCCACAGGCTTCCTTTTTTGAGATACGACAATATTGAAATCAGACGAATCAGTAAACCTACAAAGGTTTACAAACATTTAAGTGAAAGGAAGAGTTGCCCATCTCTCACTTTAAATCAAAAGCTAGAAATGGGTAAGCTTAGCAAGGAAGGCGTGGCTAAAGACAAGTAGACTGGAAAGCTGGTCTCTTGCACCAATTAGCCAAGCAGTGAATGCAGTGGGAATGTCCTCAAAGGACATTAAAGTGCTACTCCAGTGAACACATGAATAATAAGAAAGCAAATCAGGCTTGTTGCTGATACGTCACAGTTTTAGTGATCTGGATAGAAGATCAGACCAACATTCCCTTCGGCCAAAAACAAATCCAGAGAAAGGCCCTAACCCTCTGTAGTTCTGTGAAGGCTGAGAGAGGTGAAGAAATAAGGAAAGAAGAATAAGGAAAGAAGCCATCTCCACAGTTGGAGATGTATAGGGCAAAGCAGCAAGTGCTGGTGAAGAAGCTGCAACAGGTTGTCCAAAAGGTCTAGTGGAGACAGATGATGAAGGGGGCTGCTCTCAACAGCAGGTTTTCAGTGTGGATGCAACAGTCTTATCTTGAAGAAGACACCATCTAGGACTTTCATAACTAGAGAGATGTTAATGCCTGGCTTCAAAGGACAGACTGGTTCTCTTATTATGGCCTTCAGCAGCCACCACCCTGATCAGTCAGTGGCCATCCACATCAAGGCCAGACCCTCCACCAGCAAGATGATGATGACTTGCTGAAGGCTCATGACCATTAGCAATTTTTTAGCAATAAAGTATTTTTAAAGTATTTACATTCTTTTTGTTGGTTGGTTGATTGCTACTGGGGATTGAACCCAGGGGTGCTCAACCACTGAACTAGGTCCACATCCCTATTTTTTTTTTAGACAGCATCTTACCAAGTTGCTTAGGACCTCACCAAATTGCTGAAGCTGGTTTTGAACTTTCGATTCTCCTGCCTCAGCCTTCGGAGCCACTGGAATTACAGGCATGTGCCACCATGCCTGGCTACATTGTTTTAGACAAATGCTCTTGCATACTTAATACACTATACTATATGATAAACATAACTTTTATGCACACTGGGAAATCAAAAAAAATTACATGACTTGTTTCATTGTGATGTTTGCTTTATCATAGTGGTCTAGAACCAAATCCACAATATCTTCAAAGTATACCTCTGTTAGTTGTGTTCAGTCTTGTGTGAAGGATACTGTCTAATGAGCAATACTTCTGTGATATTCTGACCTTCTCATGTGCAAAGTGGAACAATGAGAAAAACGCTCAACCTGTTCTTTCTTAAAGACACCAATGCTATAACTATGTTTACTGCTCTCCTCCTCATTTCTAATTTCATCATGTGTACATTCCCTGATAGTACTTCAGATTGCAATTTGACAATATTAGTATATATCCTTTTCTTTTTAAATAAATCATCAAGATTGCTTTTTCACTGTGGTAATCTTCCTTATTCTGTTTTGTCTTTCTTGATAACTACCTGCTCCTTTTTAATTGAATTTTTCTTTTCCCCTTCTAAATATTTTTGGGCTTTGTTTTGTTGGGGTGTTGTATTTGTTTGTTTATTTTAGAATTTGCTTTTAGGGAGACAGTAGGGTAAGACGGTCTTACTGTCATGGAAAAATATTCCAGATGAAAGTCAAGGATCCTTAAGAGAGAAAGCTCAGTGGAATAGATGGAACTTAACACCTAACCGTGAATTATCATTAAGTCTCTGATTTTCAAACAACTATGTACTTTAATTCTTGTTTTTAAAGAATCTAAACTAGTTGGATTCTTAAAAATTTTACCCCTCATTTTTTTTCCAGAACCTTCAGCTACTTGGAGCTACAGCTATTGAGGATAAATTACAAGATCAAGTGCCTGAAACCATAGAAACTCTGATGAAAGCAGATATCAAAATCTGGATCCTCACAGGGGACAAGCAAGAAACTGCCATTAATATTGGTAATTGACTTAATTCAGGTGCTTTTTAACAGATATATATATTTTAGAAGGTGGATTTGAGATGTTTCAATATCTGAAAGAGTTGATATATCAAGATTCCAAATTTATATTATTAGACCTTCCTGTTTGTTTACTTACAGCTTCAATACTGCCTTTAAAGTTGTAGTGGTTTTATATGCAACCAAACTTGAGCTCTCACAACCACATATACCCTCTCTCACCTTTGCATCCTGCCTCCTCATGTGGCATTCATGAGGGGCACATTCTAATAATACTTCTGTAGTTGTCTGTGAGAGTCTAGGGATTAGGTCTGTGGCATGCTTATGTAGTGACACTGGTTTGTGTGACCAAATGTTGTTTCTGAGATAGGAAGTAAGAAAGTTGCTAGTTTGTATTCTTCCTGCAGTCAGTTTCAATTATTTTGGGGGAAAAAAAAAAAGTTTTAGGCTGGGGTTGTGGCTCAGTGGCAGAGCACTTGCCTAGCACGTGTGAGGCCCTGGGTTCAATCCTCATCACCATATAAAAATAAATAAAGATATTGAGTCCAACTACAACTAAAAAATAAATATTAAAAAAATAAAAATAAAAGTTTGTATTAGCTCAAGCTGTCATAACAGAATATCTTATATGGGGTAACTTAAACAATAGAAACTGATTTTTCTGGAGACTGGAAATGCAAGATCAGAGTGCCCAGGGTTCGTTTCTGGCTTACAGGTGGCTGCCTTCTCGTGTCCTCACATAGCCTTTGCTCTGTGCACATGCACCACTGGTATCTTTTTCTTGTAAGGACACCGGTTCTGTTGCATTAGAGCCCTGTCTTAGTCTCTTTGCATGGCTATAAAAAAAAAAAATGCCCTCAGTCTGACAACTTGTAAAGAGAATAAATTTACATCTCACAGTTCTGGAGCAGAGAAATCAAAGGTCGAGGCACCACCAGAATCAGTATCAGATGAGGACACACTTTCGGATTTACAGATGGCATCTTCTGTGTCCTCACCTGGTAGAAGGGGCAAGGAAGTTTTGGAGGCCTCTTTTATAAAGGCATTAATCCATTTATAGGGATAGAGCCATGCCAACATCCCACCTCCTACTACCATCACACTGGTAATGAGATTCAGTATTGAATTTGGGGGAGACAAATATTCAGACCATAGCAGGCCCCACACTATGACCTCCTTTAGCCTTAATTACCTTTTTAAAGGTCCTGTGTACAAATAGTCACATTGTGGGTTAAGATTTCAGCATAAGAATTTCAGCGTTGAGAGAAAAAATTCAGTTTATAACAAAGGTCTTACTAAGAAGAAAGTTAATATTTGGTATTAGAAGCCTATAGTACCAGTAATACATCAAAAGAAATACCTTTTTTCCCAAAATTCAGTAATGGTAGCCTGAGCACTGTAAACCTTTGTATAGATTTAACCTTTTATTATTAGTCATATACATTATGTACAAAAATCCTCCAAAGTCACAGAAAAGAGGACTGAAGTGTTCACAGCATGAAACCACAGTTTTGGAAAGTCATTTTTAGGTATTCTCTAAAATATACTTAGCTCATATTCCTTTTGAAAATGTTAGCAATCAGCCTGAAGTATCCTATAGATCTAAAACTCAGGTACAAAGTTATAATAAATTAATGTTATTAATAGAATATAATTTATTTTAGGAGGAAAAAAGCATACAAATTTATTAACATACATGGGGGAAATTACAGGAGTTTTAATACCCTGAAAATTAATTTTCACTTTAAATTTCAACAAATTATGTAGTAGAATGTTAAATTTATAAGCCACACAGTTGTTAATTTTGATCATAAAAATTATCGCTGGTGTTGAGAGAAAAAAATGAAAAGAAGATGTCTGAGAAGGGAATTATGATAAAATGCAGAATGGGTCAAGAATTGGAAGACCTGAAAACACAGGGTAAAACTTAAGACAACAGATGGAGAAAATATGGTGAAGAGTGAGACGTGAGGAAAGGAGGCATTCAGGAGTCGTAGCGTAGGGTGTGTAGTCACTGTGGGTGATCTAGGAAAGGGAGGAGGGTAGTAATTTCTGGCAATGTTTAGCTTCTAGAATCTTGGGCCATGATTGATTCTAGAAAAAGAGACGATTCATTCAGCAAATGGCTGTGGTGTCCACAGTGCCGGGTTCCAGTGAAGTGCAGGAAACAAGAAGCCGACTCTCTGCCGTTGTGGAAATCAGGTCCTGGTCAGGGAAACAAAGTAAATGAAAAAAAGCACAGAGTATATTGGATTTCAGTGATTGGTATTACACACACACACACACACACACACACACACACACACACAGTGATAGGGCATCACCCAAAGGAATTCATAGTTAAGTAGGAAGGTCAGGAAGAATTCAAGGTGACATTTGAGAAATGACCTGAGAGAGGAAGGGAGCTTGTCATGGGATGATCAGAGGAAAACTACTTTCTGTTGTAGAAAGAGCACAGGAGCAGAGCGGGCACAGCAGAGACCCATGGGATAGGGCCGCTCAGGGCCTTGAAAGGACTTTGCACTCACTCCAAGTGAACAGGGAAAACACAGGCTGAGACAGACATGATCTGACTTCTCTGTGAGGAAAACAGTCACTCTGGCTGCTGGGCCAAGGCTGGACTGAGAGAGGAGGCGGTGTGGAAGCAGGGGACCAGGGGAGAATGTACTGCATTGAACCAGGGGAATTGCCGTGGTGACCTAAACTGGTGGCAACATGAGGAGTGGCTGGCTTCTCAATGTGTTTCAAAGGTAGAGCCAGGAGGATTGACTGGTAGATTTCACATAGGGTTTGAGAGAAGGAAAGTAATCAGGGGTGACGACAACATTTCTGGCCTTAGCAACTGAACAATGGTTTTGCCATTAACCAAAATGTGGAAGACAAGTAAGGCAGGTTTTGAGGGGCAAGAGGGGTGCCAGCAGCCTGGTTTTTGCATATAGTAAGTGTGAGTTGTCTACTTTATACCCAAGTGTCTGCTGTTAGGAAGAACTTGGTTATGAGACCCTGGAGGTCAGGAGAGAAGTCTGAGTGGAAAGTAAGAGTTTCAGATTGATAAACATTTAGGACTAGAAGTGCAGCTCAGTGGTAGAGCATCTGCTTATCATATGTGAGGCCCTGGGTTCTATCCTCAGCATCACAGAAAAATAAATAGGAGAGAGAGAGAGATCCAGAAGAGTAAACATTCAAGTTGCATTTAAACCCATGAGATAGAATGGAATCACAAAGGGAGTGATATTATTTTTACTATCTTTTTAATATGAAAACAGGTTTGCCTATTTTTCTGCAGCCACATTCAGCTATAGCAAGTGGTACAGAATAGATTTAACAAAGTGGTGATTTTGCCCTGTAGAGGGTACAGCAGAGCAACTGAGGGCAGGCAAGAAGAGAATATCATGACTGCTCAGGGCAGGGAGATGGTGGGGATCAGTGGATTAAGAAAGAGTCAGCCTACCCTCCTGTGCCCATCCTCTGTCAACAGCCATCATTTTCTCTTTGTGTTGGTCCTCAGGATAAGACACTGAGAATTCTTACCAGTCTCTTTCCTTATTGTTTATTAAGACAGCCTCAAAAGATGTCCTTGTATTATATCCATCCTATAGCATGTGAGAGCATTTCATTTTCAACATCCTGTAAGCCTGGAAAACAGCTTATTGCCACCATCATTTTTTTATAAACTCCTCCTTAGATGTTTCAATAGTATTATCATTTTAATGTCTTCTCTTTCATAAAATTAATTGTATTTGTAATTGTATTTGTTCTGTTTGTACATAGGACATTCCTGCAAACTCTTAAAGAAGAACATGGGAATGATTGTTATAAATGAAGGCTCTCTTGATGTAAGTGAAATTCTTTAAAAAAAAAAAAACACCTCTTTTACTAACTTAATCGCCTTATAGTATTTTATTTTATTCAGTTAGCTATATTTTATTTTCCCAATGTTAACAGATACGCTATTATTGTTGTTCTGCTTTAATATAGTTTTGAATAACATTGATAAAATTGATACATACCTTGGAATTGTGTTAACTATAGAAATTGCTAAATAATTTTCTTAAGGTTATAAGACAGAAAAAGCACTTTATAAAAGCATTGTTGGGAAGTTCCTGATGGTCTGTAACTTGTTCATATCTGAGTATTGTATTTTGTGTATCAAGCATTTTATGTCCGTTTTGACATCCAGTGCTAAAATACGTTTTGCTTCTTTTAGAAAATTGTGAAAGTTATTTAACAGCACAAAATAACCATTTCTGAAAAGTTTTGTTTTGATGTGTGTGTTATGTCCTAACTTCTAGGGTAAAATGTAAATTCCTCATATGTATTTTTTCATGGCCTTGATCACCTGATGTCATATTTAGAAAAGAAATAAAGATTATTAGGAATAGGATATAAAATATAAGTTCACAAAATGATATGTAGGTCATATGACCTGAAAATATTTTCAAGTTAGGGTGAATATTTGTAATTTAAGGTGGAAGACAGAACAGGAAAGGTGATGATTATACAGCTGCTTGAAATAGTCACTGTGACGCAGAGAGCCAAGTGGAGAAAACCTGATAATTAGGCATCTTGGTGAAGCTGAGAGGCCAGCTAGGTAGGAGCCACGGTGAGGAGGTGATTGAGGATGGAGATGTTTAGAAGGTGACTGCAGAGCCGAGATTGTATGTAAGCCTTTTCTCACTTCAGATTTTTACCTTGGAATGATGGTCTCTTATTCATCCTTTAAACAGTCCTCTGATAATTTTCTCTTTCTCATGAAATCTTTGAGCAGCTTGTCATTTAAAGATTAGCATATGATTTTGCAATTATATGAGCTGTTTATGCCTTTAATTACTGAACAAGTAGTTTTGGTGAACCAAACTTTAATCCTATTTTAAAACATAAACTCAAAAAATTCATCAATAGAAGCTAATCTGTCTTTTTTTTAAAGAGAGAGTGAGAGAGGAGAGAGAGAGAGAGAATTTTTATTATTTATTTTTTAGTTCTCGGCGGACACAACATCTTTGTTGGTATGTGGTGCTGAGGATTGAACCCGGGCCGCACGCATGCCAGGCGAGCGCGCTACCGCTTGAGCCACATCCCCAGCCCATAATCTGTCTTTCTTATACATTTAGTTGTCCCTCTTCTAGGCACTAAGAATGTACCCCTAAATTATTGTGCCATGAGCTCTGCCCCCTTTAACTTACTGTTATCTCCATCATCCACCATCTTGTAAGTTAATTATTATAGCTGAGTTATTATTACCTTGTGAAAAATTATGACTAAGAGAACCATGCTCTCATATGCTTACACAATAAGTGAAATGGCATATATACAAATAACAGTACAAATCAGATCTATAAATAAGGTAGATAGTTCACTATGGGGATATTGTGAAGCACAGTGTATTTATAAAGAAAGTGACATCTAGTTAGAAAGAGGTGCGTAATGGAAGAGTGGAAAGTATTTGAAACATGAAAATTCTCACAAGTAAGTTCAAGGCCTATTTGGGGCTTGAGAAGAAAAACACTGAATTTGAATGCAAATTATAATTCTTCAAATATTATAATTATATAATATTATAATTCTTCAAATATTCTTATTTTGCTTCTTTTTAAAAATTGTGGAAGTTATTAAACAACACAAAATAACCATTTCTGATAAGTTTTGTTATCTTCAAATATTCTTATTTGAAGAATTATAAGCCATAATGTAAAAATTAAGTTATAGAACAGTAAAAGTACAGATGTTAGAAAGTGAATCTGCACCTTTGCATCTGATCTGCCGGTTTATCTCCCTGGGACAGGCCCCTACTTTCAGATTCTTGAGTTACTCTCAGGAGTGTATGTCAACATACAGAGGCTCTGTTGTTAAAACAAGTCATAGAACATTATATACAACACTTTATGTACTTTGCTTTTCTCACTATATCTTAGCAAATGTTCTGCAATAGATGTTTGAAGCTATCTAATTTTTTTAACATGGCATGGTATTTAAAAGGTATCTATAAATAAATGATAGAGTTAAAACTGAAAAGATGATCTCAGGCCATCTGTGGTAGCCTGGGCCAGGTTAGGGAATGTGCCTACATAGGAAGAGGGAACCTTCATCAGCTCTGTGCTGAAGAAGTATGAGAGATTGTACATAGGCAGCCTTGGAAGAGCAGCAGGTATGGAGTACAGGCAAGAGGCCAGGAGAAGAGTTTAGGTCACCTTTGGAGTAGGATTGGGGGCACCAATGCCAGCGATGTGGTGTGAGAAAAATTTGGATGTATGCCATCTGGCCCCTGAAGAAGGAGTCAACAAGGATGTTTCTGGAAGTTCCATTTGGTCAGAGAACTGTTAAAATTGAAATGGAAATAATTCCCACCAATCCTGGTGGTAGTTACGCTTTTTTTAAAAAAACACAATACCTTTATTGGTTTTTTATTTTTATGTGGTGCCAGGGATCAAACCCAGTGCCTCACGCATGCTAAGCAAGCACTGTACCCCTGAGCCACTACCCCAGCCCCACGGTTATGCTTTGGTGGGTAACATGGTTACATGTTTTCTTACAGTCGAATTAAATCAGAGATAGAACCGTGATGCAAAAGCAGGACAAGCCATGCCTTGTCTGACGGGAGACCCTTTTTGTCTGGATCCAGGTTCCCACCTATGTAGAGTGTGGCAGCATGGCTGCTTTTCTTTTATTCTGTTCCGTCATTTTTGTCCATTCCTTGGATAAATATTCTTTCTTTTTTTTGAGAGAGAGAGAGAGTATTTTTTAATATTTATTTTTCAGTTTTCAGCGGACACAACATCTTTATTTTATGTGGTGCTGAGGATCGAACCCAGCGCCCCGTGCATGCCAGGCGAGCACATTACCGCTTGAGCCACATCCCCAGCCCGGATAAATATTCTTTTGAGTGTTTTAAGTATCAAGTAAATAATAATCTCAAGGGGAAAAGAAAAGTGAAATACCAAAAAAAATATTCATTGTAGTGCATCAGAGTAGAGTCACAACAGTGGCATTTATTTTCATTTTGAGGTTTCTAAGTTGGTAGCACAAAATTAACAAACACCTCAGGGTACTCGCACTGTCTATTTCTACTGGAGCAGTTGTAGTTAAAAGTGTCAGGTAGATAATACAGTGTAGGTGCTATTGTATCTGTCTGTTCAGCTTTAGCCTCTGTCTCAGCGTCCAGAAAACTGTCTCATGTGTAAGAATTATGTTATAAATATTTGAGAAGCAAGTTACTGCATAATTGTTAAGAATTCCATTTTTTTAATTGGTGAGTTCCATTATTTTTAAAAGTCATCTATCAGTTTTAACTTTGGTAGTACTTTATCATATCTGATGTTTTAAAAGTAGGATAGTTAAGAATCTCCTTATCCATTCAAGTGGCAGGTTGGGGCAGGAGGCAGACTGTATGAATGAATTAGCACTAATTTGTCCAGCTCCTACCTGCCAAGCATTCTGTGCCACTGTCTGGGGAAGGTTTTCTCCCAGGGAGTTAAGTGGTGACTACAAATCCGGCTGTTTAGGGTCAGACCTGCTGGGGTGCACTCATTTGTTTCTCAGCAGGAAAGGAAACATCACTTTGCATAGCGACTTCCTATCTTGTGTCATAAAATCCATGGCTGAGGTTTCAGGCAAATCATGTGAAATGCTAGGATGCCCGTAGGTACATCATTATTTGTTTTTCATTGCCACAGAAAAGAAAAACATCCTATCTATGTTTAAATTGTACTGATAGATAATAAGAGGAAATAGGATTATCACTGCATGAGCATAAAGAATAATTAACAAGTAATAAACTTAGGAACATAACATCTTAGGAAATGAATTGTGAGTGTATGTTTTGTCAAGTGACAATTTTAACGAGCACACTCAGATTATTCTCTGAAACAGCCCAGTGGTTGAGAGCACAGTTCTGTCCCAGACTAACTGTGCAAGTTGAAAAAGCTTCTGTGAGCCAAGTTTTGCTGCCTTTAGAGAGAACATCACGTTTGGCATAGGATTAGTATGGTTAGCCCAAAACATGGCACATGTGAAAAGGAGATGTTATGAAATTTTGTAGAAAGAACAGTATTCCCGTTGCTTGTAACTTGTTTTTGCATGATGATTATCTTTGTTATAAAAACTATTTTTCCAAGTTTTAATTTTTTCCTAAGGGAACAAATTATAACTGTAGATTCTCTTTTACATAAGTGATACATATTGCTCTGAACTATTCAAATTTTCTGCAAAATGTTATTCCTAGTACTGTTAAAATTGAACAGATCAATCTCTTTCTCTTATATTAAACTTTTACAAAGTATTATATTCAAGGATCTTGAAATTTCACATAGAAAACTGTTTCTTCTAGTGATTCTATTAACAGAGATCATCGTCTCCCAAAATATAGATCATCACAAAAAAAAAAATGCTACTGGGCTTGCTTTCTTTTGGGGTTTCAACATGGATATTGTGCTGGGGGTGGGGGGGCTGGAGTAGCTCTTCCGATGTTTTTTAAGTCCTTTAAGTAAATGCATTAAACCAAACTACAGTTAAAGATACAAACAGAAGGAGAGATTTGCTCTGCAGACCTGATAGGGAAACTTGAGAGGTTTGCCTGCCTCCGTTTACTCCCAACTACTATCATTGCAAGAGCAATGCCTCCTTCTTAGACAGTCTACTGTCTAAGGACAGGCTCTTATAAAATGCCCGTCATCAAAAGAGTTTCTCAAGCAAAAAAGCTTGATTCTTTTTTTTTTTTAATTTAGAAAAGAATTTCATAGATAAGGCTCACCTAAAGTTGATCAGAATTTTCAATAACTATTTCATTTGGGTAATTTGTTGTATACTATTTGAGCCTCTTTAATAGGAGTTCTGATTATGC